TGAACTTTGCAGCTGCCAATAACCAACTGCAGACACTGCGATGGCTACATTTTCATCGACGAGAAGGATGCGGAACAATCGCGATGGATGAAGCTGCAGGACACGGTCATTTGCAGGTTGTGAGATGGCTACATACGCAACGGAAGGAAGGCTGTACGTCTAATGCGATGGACAATGCAGCCGCTAACGGACACTTGGAAGTTGTCAAATGGCTACAAAAACACCGTGAAGAAGGCTGCACATTTCAAGCTATGGATCGTGCCGCTGCTGGAGGCCACTTGGAGACGATCAAATGGCTACAAACGAACCGATTCGAAGGCTGCACGACAGCGGCAATGGATAACGCTGCAGCTAACGGATGGCTACAAACAGTGCGCTGGTTGCACGAGCACCGAATTGAAGGATGCACGACTAGTGCGATGGATGAGGCTGCTGGCGGAGGACATTTCGAGGTGATGTTGTTCCTCTTTGCCAACCGCAATGAAGGATGCACGTGGCGAGCGGCTGAGAACGCGACGCGTGCCAGAAATCTCGAGATTGTGCAATGGCTACATTCGCATTATCCAGATCAGTTCGACCGAAATCGTGTGATTGCAGCTGCCGACAGAGACGATTTCTATATGATGGAATGGCTACATAGTCTCGCTTAGGTGGCTGGTATGTATTACCGTGGCGAGAAGCGAGAACGTCAACGCAACGAGGTAACATGAATAAAGTGAATGAAGAGTTTTGAAGCAGATATCAACAGCTAACTTTGCTTTGACTTGCTTATCATGTCGTTTAACCTTCATTGCTGTTCCTCTGTCGTGAGTTTCACGGCTGTAGCCTTTTTCCATCAGAAAATTGGTTAGCCAAGTCTCCATAGCTTTCGCTAACCCCCCACCGAGCGATATTGGTCGGATAGGTCCTCTACATGTAGTCGGATGTGTTTTGGTATGGTGAACCAGTTGACAGGGAAGAGCCTATGTTCCAGCAACGTCACTATCAAGTGGCCTATCGAACATGGGGATATGGGCCTCTCCGGCCACAACTGTGAAGTTGGTTCAGGGGTGTTGCTTTCATGCTGTCGATACGGGTGGTAAGCTAGTAAACAACCTCGAAAAGGTCGCTAATATGCGTGTCTTTTTTAATTTTCGAGAAGCTTCTCGTGAGTCTTAAGAACACATTCACTGTATGTGCATCAAGATGTTTAAACTCGATGAAGCAGAACGAAAAACTTACACGTTACAATACACTCATTAACAATTACTTTGAGTAGAAGTTGTTGACCATCACTAATTTCTTGCGGCATTTGCACCATCAGACTCCAAACTTGTCAGGAAAAGCTCGTTGCAGCCACCTGGCGACATCTAAGTGTCCGTTTGCAACAGCATCTGTCATGGCTGCACGGGTGCATCCCTCTGCGTAGTGCTCATGTAGCCACCGCACGATGTCCAAACGTCCAGCAGACGCTGCGTTGTCCATCGCATGCGCACTACAACCTTCACTTCTGTTGTTGTGTAGCCATCTTAAAACAGCGAACAGTCCATTCTTCGCCGCAGAATCCATGGCAAACGGCGTGCATCCTTCAGGGCGATTCTCATGTAGCCATTTCACCATGTCCAAGTGTCCATTACTTGCTGCCAAGTCCATCGCGTCGGTCGTGCAGCCTTCCGAGCGGTGCTCATTTAGAAACTGCACTATTTCTAAATGCCCATTGCCCGCCGCTCGGTTCATGGCTTGTTTAGTGCACCATGCTTGGTGCTGATGTAGCCATTTGATCATCTCTAAATGGCCATTCGCTGCTGCGTTGTCCATGCGAATATCTTTGATCACCACAGAGTCTGGGAATGTATCCATCATCCACTTGACCGC